GGTGGTGGTGGAGGCGGGGGAGGCGGTGGAGGTGGCGGTGGTGGCGGAGGGAGTGGTAGTGGGACTGGAGGCGTTGGTGGCGGCGGTGGTGGCGGCAGTGGGAGTGGTGGCGGCGGCAGTGGTGGCAGTCGGGGTGGCAGCGGTACTCGAGGTGCTGGAGGTGCTGGCGGTGGTCAGAGGCAGCAGCAGCAGCGTCCGCGTGAGATCCCTATGCCCTAGGAGCTTCGTGCTCAGCGTGGGGCATCTGGCGGTAGTGTTCACTGCCACTACGTCATTCGCACAGGTGACCACGCTGGTCAGACATGCGGGAAGGTTGGTCACACACAGTCCTGCTGCTTCTCCCGTCTTGACGACGCATGGCGCGCAGGGTTTCCCGGCGCGACTGAGCTCCCCCGCTGGCTAGAGCTACTTAGGCAGGGTGTAGATATCTTTGCTCTTGATTATTATGCTATCCTTGCAGCCGTGTATGCATTGACTATTAGTGCTGAGGATGACTGTTACCTGTATATGCCACCCAACCTAGGTATAGAGGCTGCTGCTCTAGGTGCTAATGAGTCTGCTGTCCCTGGTACTGCGCCTGCTGAGGCCTTGCACGCCTTCACGCTTGACTCAGGTGTTTCCCGCTGTTTCTTTCGCGACAGTACCACAATCACACCACTCCCTGCACCTGTTGCAGTCAGACTGGCTGACACCTCAGGGGGCCCAGTTCTTGCACGTTCTGTCGGAATGTAGTTTGTTTAGCCTGCAGTGGGGTACTCTGTAGTGAGTACGACCCCTTAGGGTTTCCTATATGTATCCTCCTGCTTGCTAGTGAACATCCTCCTTTTGCTCATTTCTCTCTTGCCTAGCTAGGTAAACCCTAGCTATGGCTCCTTGTTATGCTCACTCTTTTGACATGGAATCAGAGTTGTTACGCTCTTGGCCTGTGGGCCCCACTTGCTTCCGCTGCTTTCCTGTCTATCGCGCGCCCCGTGGCACGCGACGCTTTTTTCTTCCCGCCACACGCTCGGGGCGCATAGCGGTTTTCTGCCCGCCGTGCGCCCCGAGGCGCGTGGCGGCTTCATTCTTCGCGCGTCACCCCGGGGACCCGCGCGTCCCCACCGTCGACGGTCGCGTCGCCCCCCTTGGAGCCCGTCGCGTCGCCCCGAAAACCAACGCGCGGCCCCCCGTCGCCCCGTCGCGTCGCCCTGGGGAGCCGCTCGCGGCCCCCCGCTGCCCCGTTGTGGCGCCCTGGGGAGCCGCGCGCGGCCCCCTTCCGCAATCCCGTCACGGCGCCCTGGGGAGCCGCGCGCGGCCCCCGCTGCCCCGTCGCACCGCCCTGGGGAGCCGCGCGCGACCCCCTGCTGCCCCGTCGCGGTGCCCTGGGGAGCCGCGCGCGGCCGCCCGCTGTCTCGTCGTGGCGCCCTGGGGGCCACGCGCCGTCCCCCGCGCCGTCCCCCGCGCTCCTGCCCTGTGCCACCCGTTTTAGGGTTTGGGGGTGGCGGTTATGGGGGTGCCGGGTGTGTCCGTCGTCCCCTGCTCCTCCTCCTCCTCCGTCTCCCACTGCTGCAGCTGTCGCTGAGGGGGGTGGGTGTGTGGGAGCCGAAGGAGTGGTGCTAGGGGGGTGACGTGGGAGTGGAGCTAAGGGTGCAGCAAGGGGTGTGTGAAAAAGGGGTGGGACAGTTGGGGGAGGTTGAGCGGAGGCTGCCGTCTTGTCGTCCGCAGCACCTGTAGTCCGGGGCGCTGTCCTGGTAGCCCAGAGAGCCTGCTGCGCTTGTCGCCCGTGGGTCCGTTGCTCCTGCCGCTCCTCGTAGCCGCCGAGCCAGTTTCTCCAGTAGTCCGGGGCGCTGTCCCGGTAGCCACTGTGCTAGCCGCTCTTGTTGCCCGTGTGTCTGCAGCTTCAGCCGTCGTCGCCTATCTTCTCTCCTCTTACAGTCACGCCTCCTCCTCCTCACTTGCCCTTTGTGAATGCCTCTAGCTTTGCTTGCACTTGTGAACCTGCTCTTGATTGCTTGCTGTGCTGATTATACCCCACTTTGACTATGGGGGTGTGTCAGAATGTAGTTTGTCTAGCCTGCAGTGGGGTACTCTGTAGTGAGTACGACCCCTTAGGGTTTCCTATATGTATCCTCCTGCTTGCTAGTGAACATCCTCCTTTGGCTCATTTCTCTCTTGCCTAGCTAGGTAAACCCTAGCTATGGCTCCTTGTTATGCTCACTCTTTTGACACGTTCCTCCACTGTTCTCCCGTGTCCGGCGGTTCCTTCTGGTTCACTCTTGGGTCTTCACCTCTCCTCGTTCTCTATGAACTTGGTGAGTACCGCTGCCCTCCACGTCACTACCACCACTCATGGCGGTCAGCGTGTGACGATATGCACGTGTACACGGACGGGCCGTCACCTGGCCACGTTCACCCGTCGGCCTGGGTCGAGTCTGTACACACTGACCACTGAGCCTTCCCAGGTAGCTGCGTCTGCATCTGCGTGAGGTCAGCTAGCAGCCCCCTGTTCGTGTCGCCTCCTGTCGCACCAGACTTTCCTTTGGCACCACCGCCTTGGTCACCCCTCCCTGCCACTCCTCCGTGGCATGCACTCCCGCCTCCTTGTCTCTGGTCTTCCCAGGTCTCTACCTCCCCTCCCGCCCTCGCCCGCCCCGCCCTGCCTTCCTTGCGTCGAGGGGCAGCAGCGCGCCGCTCCTCACTCCTCCTCGTTTCTCCCGACGACTGCTCCCCTACAGACTCTCCATATGGACGTGTGGAGCCCAGCTCGCGTCCTCCAGTCGTTCACGCTTCCGGCCTCCCCGCAGCAAAATGGGGTTGCTGTGCGCCGCATTGGCTTAGTCATGGAGGTCGCTCATACCTCCATGATCCCTGCGGCTGCTCCCTATTGTATGTGGCCGTTTGCGGTCCGGTACGCCGCGCATCAGCTCAACCTCTGGCCCCGTGTCTCCTTGCCGGAGACCTCGCCTACACTGCATTGGACGGAGGAGGTTGGCGATGCGTCGGTGTTCCGGGTCTGGGGCTGTCGTGCCTTTGTCCGCAATACCTCGGCGGACAAGCTCTCTTCCCGCGCCATTCCCTTCGTCTTCCTTGGCTTTCCCTCTAACGTGCCTGGCTGGCAGTTTTACCACACCACCTCGCGCCGTGTCCTGCTCTCTCAGGATGTCACGTTTGACGAGTCGGTTCCCTTTTACTGTCTCTTCCCCTACCGCACTGCCCTTCTTCCCCCATGTCAGAACTCTAAGGTTTACGCCCAAGAATGGGCTTGCGGGGGAACACTTGTATATTTGTAAATAAGCGAAACACTCAGCAGCGGGGAACTGTAATGGCAGAAGCGAAGCAGGGTGGGGGCTCGGTGGGGGTGGCAACTAGAGTGGCAAAAGGGGGTGGCAACTCCATGGAGGGCGGCGGGCAGGATTGGTGGGAGGTATGCTGGCAGGATCGGCAGCGAGATGACGTGTGCTTGGTATGCGCATGTGTGATGTGTGGGCTGCATGTATGGTGTGCTTGTTTCCTTATGCAGACACCGAGTCCAGGAAGGCGCTGGAAGACAGCGAGGCCAGCTGGAGGCAGGCTGACGTACTGGATGGATGGCTAGCTAGGCAACCCAGCAGAACAACAATTGTTAGGCTAGGCTAGCTAAGGGAGTGTTGGAAAGCTTAAGGGTGGTTCCCGGGACATGGGACTGCCACTGCATGTATGTTTTCGTGAATTACTGCAAATTACTTCTTCACACACAGTGACTAGCGAAGCCATAACAGCAGTCGAGATGAGTTAGGGAGGGTCTTAGCTTACATACATGCAGTTTAGTTTATGGAATTACGATCGGGTCGATTATTAGAGGGACGGAAGTTGAGCCGTGAGGATAGTCAGCCGATGGCGAACGAGGGAGATGCTAACCAGGTGGCGAATCAGTCGCTGGAGACGAGGAGAACGGAAGGGCGGAAAGGGCCCAGCGAAGGAGTGAGTGGCCCGCACGGCGGCACTCGCGGGGATGCAGAGGATGGCGGGAATAACGCATCCGGAGGAATGGAAGAGCGACAAGGAAGTCAGCTGCCGGCACGCTCGCAGCAAGGGGGACCAAGCGCGTACCAGCGGAGCGCCTCGTGGCAGGGTACTGAAGATGAGACGGTAGACGCTGGAAATACACTCAGCTACCAAAGATCGAGGTGCCAGAAAGGTTCTCGGGAGACGTAAGGCACGGGCCAAGCCTGAAGAATTACATCATGCAGCTGGAGAATCTACAGGCGCGATGGGCGAAAGATCGATTGGACCCAGAGGAGTTATTCCGCGGCCTGGCTAATACGCTAGCAGGGGAAGCGAAGACCTACTATCGAATCTCTCAAAAGGAGTTGCTGGAATGGTCAGCAGGAAGGGCTCTGGGTGAGCCAGATCCGACGTCGCGGTTCCTGGCCATGCTTCGCGAGCAGTTTCCCCTGCAAACGGTGGAACGGGTGGTGGAATTCCGAGGCTTCAGGAGAAGAGAGGGGGACTTACTGTTGGCCTTTTACAGGAGGCTCGTGGAGCTAGGAGAAGATATGAACTGCACGGATCAGGGAAGGTTGATTGGCAAGTTCGTGAACAGCCTAAGTCAGCCCCTGCAGCAAGACGTATAGGTGCGAGTGTTCGAAATGGGACCGGAGGCGACGCTAAAGGAGGCCTATGAGATCGTGAAACGGGTGGAAACAGGGCGGCGGCTGTATGAAGTGGAGCGCACGGCGGATAGGGGGCCGGAAAGGGGACGGCCAGCGTGGGCGGCGACATCGGCGTACCTGGATACAGAAGAGCGAGGGCGAGAGGAGCCACGGCGCTTCCACAACTGCTGCTTGCCAGGACACCTGCGGCGAGACTGCAGAAATGCGGCAGCGTGTCCACTGTGTGGGAGTTGCGAGCACATGCGAAGGGAATGCCCTGGAGCGGCTGTTTGTGCTCGCTGCGGAAGGAAAGGCCACCGCGAGGCGGACTGCTATTCAGGGCGGAGGGACCGTCGAGGGACAGACGGGGGAGAGGATCCACAAGCCACCATGGCACGCTTACGGGCGCAACTGGCAGAATTGGAGGCAGCGGAACAGAAGAAGCCTGCCATGGCAGCACAGGAAGAGGACGAGCCGGAGGAGCCAGAATTCATGCTGATGGCGCAGCCAGCTCGTGATCGAGACGAGCTGGACTTGCGAAGGGCCTCACGAAGGCTAGTGTTCCCAGAAGATACGCGGCGGGAAGACGGGCCAAGAAGGTGAGCAAGTGAGAGCGAGGAAGTTCAAGGGGCTGTGTATCGGCACCCGCGGGAGCAAATGGCATGCCAAGCGACAGTTCTGACGATAGCGGCAGGAGCGATCACGATCGGAGGCTTCACGGCGCAGCGGGTAATAGTGGACGTGGGGGCCGCGCATGTGCTCATTGGCAAGCGTCTGGCGGAGAAGCTGCAGCTACACAAGCGGGGGCGTCTCATCGCGGAAGGCTACCTGCTGATGACAGCGGACGGAGGGGAGGCAAAATGGATGCCCAAGACGAGGCAATCAATGGCGCTGATGCTGAATCCGGGAACGTCAGAGGAGTGTACGCTGCGGGTGTACTGTGGGGTGTCAGAATCGGAAGATTTTGATTTGCTCATAGGGGTGGAGTACCTGTTCGGTATAGGGGCCACAATCTGCATGTGGGAGGAGAAGGTGCAGTACAAGGTTTGCTACTGGGAAGATGACGGACCCATCGGCACGCTGCCGGTATGCTTCGTGCGACGGGAACCAAGGGAAGTGTCCCAATGCTCCGAAGCGGAAGTGCGAGAAGAGCTGGGCATACCCACCCGGCAGCAGATTGCGCGGAGGTCGACAACGCAGCCGGAGCAGGTTGAGGGGGACATGGACCTGAAGGCATTGTACACCAACACGAAGAGGCTCCTGGGGCCCACCGTCGTGTTGGATCTCTTCGGGCGCATAGGAACCGGGCTGGCAGCAGTGCTGAAATCAGGAATAAGTGTGGAGAAGTGGATCTTTGTAGAGAGTGATGTGCAGGTAGCGAAGATGGTGGTGGCTCACGCGGACAAGCTACACAAGCGGTATCCGCACCAGTTCTGCGCAGCGACGTTGGAAAGCAGCCTGCAGTGTGGGGCCGTCGACATACGCGGGATAGACGAGCACCAGCTACGGCAGTGGGGGAGAATAGATGTGGTGATCGCAGGGTGGGAGTGCCAGGGCTACTCACGAGCAGGAGCCGGCCGAGGCATGAGGGACGAACGGAGCGGCTTGTTCCGGGAGCTAAAGCGGGTCTTGAATCTGATAAAGCATATCCAGGGAGACGTCCTCTACATCGGCGAAAACGTGGACATGGAAGGAGACATCCGCGAGCAAGTACAGGTGGCGCACGAGGAAGTGACAGCCACCCTAGGACCGAGCGTAGTGGCAGACGGGGCGCAGACAGGGAGAAGGACACATAGGGTTCGCCGCTACGGGACGAATGGGTTGAGCGAGGCAACGCTGCAGTACCACCTCTCGCTGATGGAGAGGCCAGCGCCCCTGCTTGTGGAGGACATTCTGGAACCCAGGAGGATGCCACCGCCAGTGGAGCGACCGGACTATCCGACACAGTTCCCCTGCAATGAGGTGGGAAAACAAAGGCAGGCCTGGCCGACCTTCGTGGCCCATGGAGACGCCGCGGCATTCAGGTTGCACGATGGACTGCTAGGGCCAGGCATGGTATACGACTGCACTGCATGGGAATGGCAGGAGCCCACGGCGATGGAGAGGGAACTGGCCATGGGGTTCATGGAGGACGCGACAGCACATCCGGAAGTGACAGAGGAGGAAAGGAGGAGAGCGCTGGAGAGAGCTATGGATCTTAATGTGATGCACTGGCTAATAGCGACCATCAGAATGTATCATTATGAGCTGCGCTGGGAGCAGAAAAGGGATAAGGCGGCGGCAGTGCAACCGCCGACAGAAAGATCAGCGGCGAAGGAGGCCCTAGCACGGGCCATGCTAGGGGAGATTCAGGAGCACAATCAGCTGCAGCATGAACGCGGGCATCTGTTGGAGAGGCGGTGGGTCTACCACTGGGAAGAGGAGGACGAGAGACCAAAGGTCTACGCAGAACAGGCAGACATTTTGCTCCCAAGGGATCGAGAGGAGGAAGCGGTGGACAAGAAGCGCGAGGACTTCAACTGGCTAGAAGAAGTGATCGAAAGGCAGAGGAGCAGGGAAAACTACGAGCAGGAATTCGGGTCTGCGGACTTCGCGCTCATGGCGGCAACCTAGGAGGAGGAACAGGCACGAGAAGAAACGAAGGAAGCAGGGGAGGAAGGGGGCGTCAAGGGGACGCCGCACAGGGCCGCAAGGCCGAAGGAAGCGGAGCAGCCAAAGCAGGAGCCGATGGAGCCGCGACGGGAGGAAGGGGTGAAGGAGTGAGAGATAGGGGAAGGCATGGTGGAGGCAGACGTAGAGGAGCTGAAGAAAGTACTGGCCAAGCACCGGGCAGCCTTCGCTTACTCGCTGAAGGAAGTGGGAAGGTGCAACATGGCGGAAGTCACACTGGAGCTGACCATGGACATACCTGTGCACCAGCGGCGCTGGCGCATGACACTGGAAGAAACACAGATCTGTAGTGAGAAGTGTCACGAGCTGCTAGAAGCCGGCTTCATTCGTAAATCCAACTCCAAATATGCCGTGGCGACGGTGGTGGCGGCACGGTCATATCTCACAGGAAAGGTGCTCTCGAAGCGGATGTGCGGGGATTACCGGGGTTTAAACAAGGTCACGGTAATGAAAAGGTATCAGACCCCGATGCCGGATGAGATCTTTGACCTGCTGGCGGAAGCACTCATGTTTTCTACGCTGGACCTGAGGCAGGGGTTTAACCAAATCCGATCGCAGAAGCTGACAAGAGGAAGACGGCCATTCAAGGGCCGGATGGTCAGTACGAGTGGACTTTCCTTCCATTCGGCTTAAAGTCGGCATCACCCGAGTTCAACGCGTCATGGATCAGGTGTTACGGGACGTGCAGAACGCGGCTTGCTATATCGATAATGTCATAGTGTTCAGCAAGGACAGTCACTCGCACGTGAAGGATGTGGAGGCGACCCTGAGTGCCATAGAGGGGGCAGGGCTCACCTGCCATCCAGGCAAGTGCAGGTTTGGGCAGACAACGGTGGAGTACCTAGGCTTCGAAGTGGAAGGAGGAAAATTTGGGATCCAGAAAGCGAAGGTCGAAGTACTGGACCGCGTGGCCACACCGAAGGACAGAGCAAGTTTGCGGGCACTACTGGGGTTTTTGAATTACTACCGCAAATTCGTGCCCAACTTCAACAGCCGAGCCACGCGAAGCAGAGAGACCTGTGGTGGCACTGAGGGAGGTAGAAGGCAGAAAGGGGGAAGTTTCCGACACCCCCCCCCCCCGCCGCTCTTCCTCGCTCCCGGTCCCCCTCCGGTAGACCCCCGCCCCACTCAGGGTCCTGCTCCCTCAGGTGTGTCCCAGGTAGACCCACTCCCCTTGGCTGAGCCTGTCGAGGCAGCTGTCGACTCTAGTGCTGCTGGTGGGGATGCTGCTAGGGGTTCTGCGTCTGGGGGTGCTGAGCCTGAGCGTGCGGAGCCTGGGGGTGCTGAGCCTGGGGTTGCTGAGTCTGAGGGTGCGGAGCCTGGGGGTGCTAAGCCTGAGCTTGTGGAGCCTGAGGGTGCGGATTCTGGGGGTGCTGAGCCTGAGCGCGTGGAGCCTGGAGGTGCTGAGCCTGGGGGTGCTAAGCTTGGGGGTGCTGAGCCTAGCGGTACTGTGTCTGCTGGAGGTCCTACGGGTGCCTTGTCACGGCGGGAGCCTCTCTCTCCAATTCAGCTGCACGAGTGGTTTGCTCGGCGCACCCGCCTTTGGAGTGGCGCTGCTGGAGCTAGGGGGCCTACCGCGGGAGACACTACCGCTGGAGGCACTGGAGCTGGAGAGGCTGGAGCTCCTGTTCCTGGAGGTGCTCGTGCTGGAGGTACTGGAGCTGCCGGAGCTGGTGGTGCTGCTGATGCTGGAGGTGCTGGAGCTGCTGGAGCTGCTGGTCTTGGAGGTGCTCGTGCTGGAGGTACTGGAGCTGCCGGAGCTGGTGGCGCTGCTAGTCCTCGAGGTGCTAGAGGTGCTGGAGGTACTAGAGCTGCTGGAGATGGTGGTGCTGCAGGCGCTGGAGCTGGAGACCCTGGAGCTGTAGGTGCTGGAGTTCGAGACCCTGGAGCAGGAGGTGCAGGAGCTGGGGGTATTGGAGCTGTTGGTACTGGTGCTGGAGGCACTGTGCGGCAGCGACCGTAATTCGTTCCACTGCTTCGCCAGGTTCTTAGCCTCCCGTCTTCTACTAACCTTACTCCACCTCTACTGTGTCCACCGCTTGACCAGTCGCAGCCACAGTTACAGCCGCCTCCCCACTGCCTGCTCCTTCTCCTTACTCTGAGCAGACAGACTCTCTTACAGAGCGTCGTGAGCCTGCGTCTCGCCCTGCATCGCCTGTTCGTGCTGGTCACACTGGTCGTCATGTTCCCAGTCCGCGTCCTCCTTCTGTCCCCGGAACTCACCTTATGATACTTTGTCCTTCCTCTGTTCCACTGCGAGTTCCCCTGCTGTCTCCTCCTGCGTCCCCTCTTCCTGGCGGTCCGGACCCTGAGGCTTACTTAGTTCGTGCTGCCAGTCTTACTGTCATACGTCTTCTAGCCACTGTTATCACCGACCCTTTGTTTGAGTCCAGTGCTGCGTTTGCCCTTGTTGCTGAGCTTGTTGACTTCACTGCCGCTTGTCGTCTTGACTACGCCGCTAGTCTTGTTGCTGAGTTTGAGTCTGCCTGTCCTCTGTCCGTCAGGGGTGAGTGTGCTCTTGGCACGGACGTCCTTGAGGATAGGCAGGAGGACTTTGAGTGACTTGCAGCTGCTGCACGGACGTCCTTGAGGAAAGGCAGGAGGAATTCGAGTGTCTTGCAGCTGCTGTACCTCATACTCGTGTCCATGCTGCTTGCACTTGAGGGAAACCCGGATGCACTTACGCAGAGGCAATTACGGGTCCCTACTCTTCTTAGTGGCAGACAGCCATGGACGCAGAGATGGCATCCTGGAAGTCCATAGGCACTTACGTCGACGCAGTTCCCCCTCCTGGGGCGAACATAGTCGATGGCATGTGGATTTTCAGGGTGAAGCAGCCGCCGGGTTCTCCTCCTGTCTTCAAGGCTCGTTGCATTGCACGAGGCTTCAGTCAGCGACAGGGAGTTGACTTCTTCAAGTCCTTCTCCCCTACCCCGAAGATGACCACTCTTCGGGTGTTGCTGCACGTCACCGCTCAGAGTGACTCCGAGCTTCACTCTCTTGACTTCAGCACAATTTTCTTACATGGTAGCCTGCATGAGGAGATCTGGCTGCGCCGCCCACCTGGCTTCACTAGGTCGTTTCCTGCAGGTACCCGGTGGAGCCTCTGGCAGCCAGTCTACGGTCTCCGCCAGGCGCCTCGCGAGTGGCACGACATACTGAGGACGACGCTTGCTGCTCTTGGGTTTGCTCCTTCGATTGCTGACCTGTCGCTGTTTCTGCGCAACGACACTTCGCTGCCGCCGTTCTACATCCTTGAGTATGCCGCTGTCTTGGTTTTTGCCACTGCTGACACTGAGGCACTGACCCTAGTGAAGTCGGAGCTATCTTGGCTGACACACGTGCACAGACCTGGGTGAGCTGCGCAGCTATCTTGGCTTGCTGATCATCCGGGACAGAGCACGGCGCACCATCACCTTGACTCAGGCATACATGGTGCACCAGGTCCTTCAGCGCTTCCGCTTAGAGTACTCCTTGTCACAGTTCTCTTGCTCTCAGCTCCACCTTTGGACGAGTCTCTAGAGCCGAGTGGCCCGTATCCAGAGCTTGTGGGCTGCCTCATGTACCTGATGACCTGCACTCAACCTGACCTTGCTTACCCTCTTAGCATCCTGGCACGCTACGTTGCGCCCGGGAGATACCGAACAGAGCACTGGGAGGCCGCTAGGAGGATGTTGCGCTGCTTGTGCAGTACGTCGGGCATGGGGCTCGTGCTCAAAGATCAAGTTTGTGGCTGCCGCTTCAGGTGCTTTGCTCTGTGTGATTGGTGTGGGGAATGCCAAAGTGATGGGAGCCAATGAGGAGCTTGTGGGGCTCGGGAATGTGCTGATGGTTGAGGGGTTGTCTCCTAACCTCCTTTCGGTGCAAAGCTTGGGAAGTTGCTGCTATGGAACCTGGACAGGAAGTGCAGCTGCATTAAGGACCTGTGGCAGCTGCTTATCATCCCTTCGAATGGGAAACCTCCTGCAACGGCAGCGGCAGCAGCAATAGCAATGGCAACTACGGGAGAAGAGGAGACTGCATCAACTGATGGGTCCTTGGATGCAGTCAACAAGGTGCAGCAACCATAGCAATCACATGGTGAGGTGCTTGCTGGTGTGGATAAAACAGCTGCTTGGGCAAAAGCTTCATATGGGAGTGGTAAGGCCGATTGGGAGACGTGACACGAAAGGTTGTGTCACATCAACATTCCTACGCTGCAGGAGTTGATAAAGAATGAAAGCCTGAAGGGGTTGGAGGTAAAGGGGGCAGCAAAGGAGATTGGGAGCTGCCCTACATGCCTTGGGACCAAATTCACCAAGTTCCTCTTTAGCAGCAGCACAGGACAGGCCAAGGCACCACTTGCAATTGTGCACATGGATATGGTGGGCCCTAGGAGGCACAATTCTCTCTCGAGTAGCCGATACTTCTTGACCATCGTGGATGACCGAACGCGTGCGGTATGAGAGTACCCTCTCAACACCAAGGGGGAGGTGGCAGCGGCTGTCTTAAAGGAGTGGATGTCGAGAGCTCAAACGGAGAGCGGACACAAGGTGAAGGTGATTTGCACCGACAATGGAGGGGAATTCATTGGCGATGAATTTGAGGCGGTGCTGAGGGGATCCAGCATCAGCTCACAATGCCTTACAACCCTCAGCTCAACGGTGTGGCTGAGCAGTTCAACAGACCCTGCAGAAAGGTGCACACACTCTCCTTGGACGTGCAGGGTTGCCGGATCCGTTTTGGGTGAGTGCACTGCAGCAGGTCACCCTTGTGAAGAACAGGGTGCTGGCGACTGTGGGGGACAAGCAGTGGGTCCCCTACACCAAGTGGTACGGGAGTGCTAAGAGCCTTTGGGTGCATGGTGGTGTTTCATATGCCTAAGGAGAAGAGGGGAAAGCTGGAAGCGTCTGGGAGATGGAGTGTGCACGTGGGGATTGCGAAGCACCACAAGGGATGGCTGC